CTTAGGCATTGTCGGGAGCTGCGCAATTTCAATTCCATGTTTGCTATCATGAGTGGTTTGGACAAGCCCGCTGTGCGAAGGCTGCACTCAACGTGGGAGAGAGTTTCTGGGTAAGTGGGTGAATGAAACATCATTTTTGACACGTTCAAGCGAATTTATTTCAGAAAGTACATTCGCATGCTTGAAGACGTTCAACAGCTCGTCGATCCTTCACGAAACATGTCCAAATATCGTCAACACCTTGCCGAAGTGTCACAGGAACCACCAGTTCGTAATTCAGTTACAATCATTTCAGCGGATTTTCAATAAATGACAACCGTCTTACCGCTTAGGTCGTCCCAATCTATCCGGTGATCAGGAAGGATTTAACGTTTTCACACGAAGGAAATCCAACCTACTGCGATAAGCTTGTTAACTTTGAAAAGTTGCGACTCATAGCAAAATCCGTGCGAGCAGTCAGCAAGTTGAGCAGCGCGCCGTATGAAATTTCCAGTATGGCTGCAAGGGTTCGTCTTTTTCATTCTCGGAACCCTCTAAGATTTTCGTTCTGTGATACTTGTCAATTCAGAGCGGAAACTTAATAAGCGACGCTTTGCTTCACATGAACACCTTCGAAGGGGGCAACGTGGCGACTATGAGAAAAGGAGGTCGTGTAGTTCAGCCAAGGAAGAAAGTGAGTTTCTAGCTTTGTTATTTTGTGGAGAAATTTCGATTCTTTCGGAGTTTTTTCAATAACTTCTGTGGGATACTCGAATTCCAGGTTTATGAACAAGCTCTTATGGTTCGAAAAGTGAAAGCGTATTTGGACGGATTGCGAGTAGTGGACTCGGAATCTGAGTTGGATCGCCTTAGCTACGATATTGAGCCGCAACAACCAGGTTACTTGTTTGTAGCGTTGCAACCTATACAATTTGAAGTTTCTTGAAAGACCACTACAGAAAAATTTGGAAGTGGAACTGTACAAAAAAACGTAATGATTTGAGGTCCACGCGTGCGCCGTGCTCCGAGCCCATCCCCATCTTCGCTGTCGTCCCAGTCAGCAGAATCTAATTCAACAGAACAACGGCGATTTAAAGGCGGTGGAATGTTTGGCGTGGATTCTCCACAGGCGGTTCAAAAGATGCTGGGTTTGGTTCAGACCAGCAGATCCAAAGGTCTGAAATTGCTCTGTGGTCAATTTCTGGCAAACATTAATTTTGAGTGAACGTTTGATATTCTAGGTGCAGCTTCCCCGATGCCGTCACCAGCATCTTCTGTTTCCACTAAAGGTCTGCAGCGAAATGTGCCTCGGGTATCCGCTAGACAGCATTCAACTTCAGTTCAGAGAACACCCTCTTTTAAGCAGGAACCTGTTGATTTGAATAAGGAGTCAAGTTCTGTCACCAGTTTTTACGGTGCTGGTGAGTTCTTCGAAACAATTGATCACTCAGCATCATTTTCCTTTCTTATAATCCATTTTGCTTTTTGTTGCAGTATTTGTGATCATTTCGAACTATTTTCTATTTTACTCAATTGTTTTTTTTTTCATTTAATCGGGTAGTGATCCTCCCCACAACGCCGCCTTCCACAAATTTGACAGCGGAATTCACGCTGAAAAACAGCCAAATTGAAATCGAGGTAGAGGTGGTTAATGGGTGTTCACGGTAGAAAGTGTACTGGGGTTACGAAGTCTGAAGCTTTCCATGAATGGTGGCAAAGCGAGGATTCCAGATTACTTTCCGCTACGACTTGAGTGTTGCATGGGAAAGAAACGTTAAGATGCGGTCCACTACTCTCATCATACTATTTCTCCTCTTTCTCCAATTCTCAGCCTTTTTGAATTTTCGAGTAGTTGTTTTTATCACACTACTGCTCATCGTGTGTTGTGAGGTAGCGATCTGAAAGCACGCATGATTTCTGAGTCGGAAGCCACTATGTTATATGATGAAAAACGCCAGCAAAAAAGTCAAAAAGTGTTTAATATTGTTTTGTGACAATGTGTGGTTTTTGTGGGTGCTATGCATGGTTTTGATTTTATATTTATTTTGATTTTGCCAGTGTTGTTCTCCGTATTCGTGTTGTGCTGTGACCGTGATATTTCAGATGTGTTGATTTAATGCAATCCGAAGACGTGGAGT